TGTAGCTATCTGGGTGACATCTTGATCAACATATGTCATTTTATTCTTATTAAGTATCAACCTTCTAAAGTTTGTCTTTCGCTGCAAGCAAGACCCTATTCCAAGAAGTGGAACTATAAACCTGGACAACTTTCAAGACCTTAACCTGAGTGAGATTAAAAGGATTTAAAGGATTTAAATGGCCCCTTAGAATGGGAGACTGCGTTTCCTCTCCAGGATGAGTACGGATCAAGTTCTGGCAAAATTGAATCCCACCACTGCTCCAGATCCTTTCTCATTCTATGAGCCTATCAAAGTTTGACATAGTTGGGCAGTCAAGGTAATAAAAACTGCAGCTACTCAACTTCTCATAATTATGAAAGATGCGGAAACACTGTTTTTTATCTGGCCAATGAACAGCATTTTAAATTTAAAAAGTAGGGAATAGAAAATGATGGAGATGCTGTTACAACAAACTCTAAGCCATGCCATCAAAGGAAGCTTAGAACACACAAATTCAGGTTCAATCTGAAACATCACCACTCAAACATCTGGAGAATGAGCAGGACCTTTTTACCATGTAATGAATTAAGAGGACAATAGTAAGCAGTTCATCTTCCAAACCCCTTTCATGATTAGAAGAGAGGTATTACACTTGTGCGTGCATAATGTTTAAAGCAATTCTGAACCATATGCACAAAAAAGCATGGTCCTAAACAATAGTTTGATCTGATTTAACTTGATTCCACGATCAAGTTGTAATGACTCAAGCTGCACGCTAGGCTCTCTCCTGATGTTTTTATTTTAATAGTACATGAGACATACCTGGCTGGCATGAAGTTGAGCAAATTTATTGAAAAGAAAGATATTCATGTTGCTTCTTCTTAAGATACCGGAACCAGAGTACAGTATATCAAGGCTATATGTAGATGATAGAATTTGGCCACCTTAATTAAACAGAGTTACGTGTTGTAGTTACAATTTTGGCAAAAACAATCAAAAAATGCAAATATAATCTCATATTAATTTTGACCATCACGTACGTGTTAGATAACCAGAGAAGGCCGAAGAAGAACCCATTTTGGAAAATCGGTCATAATTATGAATCAATATGTCCTTCAGGACTTTACGGATCATTTTGCTGAAAAACAAACATTTTATTTCTATTGGAGAAGAAAACATTTTCCCACTACAATTAAATACTAAACAGATGCATTTTAGTAATAGCATTTCATACATTATGACCTCACCTGAAATCCATACTAAGAACCTTCCTTTGAGATAAAGATATTAATTTATTTAAGAAAATCTGATTATAATGGTATGGTTATTTGCTGAAAGTTACAGTACAATAATCTCATTCTTACCAACTTCTACTTTTCTACGTACATCATTATGTTACCAATTGCTGGTTCAAATTCTATAGTTCAGCCTATATGAGAATTGTATTTACATTGAGTAATTCTTTTGTAGCATTAATCTGTTTTCTCTGTTACACAAATGCATATAGCCACCATGAAACTTGCCAACCACATTTAGACTAATGTATTGTCAAATGTATCCTACTTTGTTACTATCATGTAACCCCCCAAAATTGGTTAATTTTTTAAACCCATCATAGTAAGCATACTGTGCTAACACAATCATTCCATCAAACAGAGAACTGAGTTAGCATTTTGCAAGTCTTAACGTGGATGTCCTGATTTTTAAAAAAATTCTGATCAGTAAAGCTATCTTAACTTTTGAATAGTCATTTACCTCCCACCCCTACTACTACTCCTACATCAAAACAATTTTTAAAGTTTTAAATCATTCCAAGATAAGATAAATATATCCTGCTTGAGCAGGGGGTTGGACTAGAAGATCTCCAAGATCCCTTCCAACTCTGTTATTCTGTTAAGAAAGAAACAGGAAATTTAAGCTCTCACTGTGATCTTTAAAAAAAACTATGCTTTTTATCCCAGTATGAATATGGAGGAGGTTGTGTGAATTGTACAAGAGTAATATTTGTGGAGCAGTTCTATCGCAGCATGGTTACACAAATAACAATGATACTTGATATACCTGGCAGGCATTTCAAAACGTAGTATGTCCTGGACTAGTGAAAGCATGTACTTATTCATCTCCAGTGGCAGCTCTCCAATAGAGAGGAGGAGGTTTTTAACTTCCATGAAGGACGGATTGCTGTTGAAGATAATAGCAGCAGCTGTGGTTCTTACGGTCTTCTCATGAACTTTATAATTCTGGTGGTAAATCCTGTTCATGGTTTTTTTCACCTGGTAGAAATATAATCTGGTCAATTCCACTGAATAGCTGATAGAAGAAGAGAAGAAAAGAAAGTCTATGTATTTACTCATAAATGAGACCAGATAGATTTTTTTCAAAAGAAACTTCAGATGCTATAGCTTCTGTGTACTGGGATAGCATCATAATTCAAATAATTGTGTCAGGATCAATAACTATCAAGGAATTTAACCTATTACCCCGCAGTTCTCTCAAATTGGATGAAAAAAATTAGTGAATTTTGGTTGACATGTATCTTACTAGGTGGCGGTAGAAAATATCAAAATATTGATATATTGAAATATATTGAAATATCAAAATATTGATCAAGCATCAAACTTGAAAGCTGTGAGGTTAATTATTAGACAACCTAGTAATATGAGTCCCGGATCTCATTTCTTTTTCATCTTTCTGCATACTGAACTTCACCTTGGATCATACAACATGTTCATAGTTCTTGTGACAGATACACGGAAAGACCAAAACATGGTTCTTCTCCCAAAATGTTAAATATATTTCTGCCCATATCCGGAGCAATCAATGAGACACCCTTTTCTAACCTTAAAGATTTATTGGATAACAACTCCCACTATGTTCAAGCTAATGGAAGTTATAGCTCAACACATCTAGAATGTATATGAGAGTTACTTCCCACCCAGTGGTGGCTTCGTACCAGTTCGGACTGGTTTGGCCGAACCTGTTAGATATTCCCCCCCACTGACAGACTGCAAGAGGTTTCCACCAAGGTCCTCTGTTCTGGCGGGAACAGAGATTGAATCTCATTGGTCAAGAGGTCTGACAGATCCCTTTAAAAGGGGATGCTGCCCGACCATTCTCCAGCTGGATATTTACTTGACTTGCAATAAAGAGCAGTTGTTTACTGAAGCCTTGTGCCTCCTTTACCCGATCAAACAGAACTGATAGTAGTTTGGCCGTGTGGGTTGCTGTAACTGGCAGTGACCCAGGCCTGCCATGCCCCCAAACCAGTTCTTCTGGTACCGCCATAGGCGCCACCATTTTGTTTTTGGCTTCTACGCATGTGCAGAGCAATTTCTGTTGTACTGTGCAAGCGTGCATGAGGCGTGTCCCTGAGCGAGCTGGCAGTAGCAACTGCCGGAACCCACCACTGTTCCCACCCTGATAAAAGTGGTTTCAGTTATAAAAACAGTGAATATATAGAAACTACTCTTTTGTCACAAAAGAGGAAGGCATCCAAACCTTTTCACAGAAAATGTGGAAATGGACAAGAATTGAATAATTTAAATTTGGCTATATATAGATTTAAAATCTATATATAGATTTTTCATAATCATCACTGGAATCCTATTTTTCTTCTTCTGATAAATGCTTCTTTTAACTTTTCACCTTCTGTTCAATAAATGTTTACCTTCCTTCTAATAGGGAGAATTATCAGAGATTTTTCATTTTTAGTCTTTGGATAAAACATTTCCATCAAGATTACAAGAAGGAAAATCTGAAAGTAAGGAGGCTGTCCAAGGATTATCTTGCCTGCAGCTTTTCCAAATTTAGATATAGAAAATTTTAAAACAAGAGTTGGCAACATGGGGCTTGCAATAATCCAGACAGCGTATGTAAATTGCTCAAGTTCCATTAAAATTACATTTTTAATTGTAAGAATTTTTAACTCTCACATGAGAATCACCAAAATTCCATAAGGTTTCATAGCTCAAGATTTCAACATTTTGAAGATTTGATGATCTATTCTAGCCAAACTTGGGGTAATTTTCTGGAAAGGCAGAATGACAAAATGGTTGCTGATATTTAAAAAAAAAACCCGTAAAGAGTTCAAGAGACTCATCAGTCTCTTGAATTTTGCACGAGAACTCCATAATCTTTGTGGGTTCTTTGGTAAAATACATATATGTATTTACAACTTCTCTCTCTAAATGAAGGACCAACATTATCCAATACTCCTAAAAAACCTTGTGTGCTTTTTATTTACCTCAGTAGTGATGGATGAATGATCATATCTCTGTAGCGCAGTAACAGCAATGTTGCTGATAGGTCCTTCTCCTGACTCAGCGAATTTTAGCAGCACAGGAACAGCTTCTGGCAAAAGGGCATTTTTCAGTGCCAAAAGGAACATCTTCACATCATCAGCTTTATCTGCTTTATTCAAGCCTTGGAATATCAGTTTCTTGGCTTCCACAACAGCCTGGAAAGAATCCACCCCACTATATTAATAGTGCACCAAAGAGAACTTAGGGGAACCTACTGTAGTAAAATGAAGAGAAATTTTTAAAGAAAACTATGACTCAAAAACAATATATAAGTAGTCCTCGATGTATGACCATAATTGAGCCTGAAATTTGTTGCTAAGCAAGACAGTTGTTAAGTGAGTTGTTCCCCATTTTACAACTTTTCTTGCCCCAATTGTTAAGTGAATCTGGATTCCCCATTGACTTTGCTTGTCAGAAGGGGATTATGTGACCCCGGGACACTGCAACCGTCATAAATACATGCCAGTTGCCAAGGGTACGAATTTTGATCATGTGACCGCGGGGACACTACGACAGCCGTAAGTGTGAAAAACAGTTGTGTCACTTTTTTCAGTGTCACTTTCATTTTGAATGGTCACTAAAGGAATGGTTGTAAGTCAAGGACTACCCATATTACACTTTATTACAAGTCCTCCATCGGGCTTTCTTCTTAGATTTGATGGCTCTAATAAATCAGGGCCGTCAAACTCGATTTCATTGAGGGCCACATCAGGGTTGTGCTTGACATCAGGGGACTAGGGGGAGGGTGGCGCCTCCAGGGTGGGTGTGTCCAGCTTGACGTCACTTGTCAAGGCTCCATTTTCAATCACGACAGCCTCCTGCAGTCCTCTGCCAGTGAAAATGGAGCCCGGGGGTACATGTGGTCTCCCCATGCTCTGTTTTTGCCGGCAGAGTGCTGCAGAAGGCCATCAAGGCCGAAAATGGAGCCTGGGTGGGCTATGTATGGCCTCCCTGAGTTCTGTTTTTGCTGGCAGAGGCACCACGGGCCAATCCTCCGCTGTTTCTAGAGTGACCCCACGGGCCAGATCTAAGCACCCCGCAGGCCGGATGTGGCCTGCAGGCCTTCAGTTTGACACTCCTGTAATAAAGTATTCAATCAAAATATTATGTATATAAAATTCATTTTGATTTAAGTCTTTGGGCAGGAGTTCACTGGAAAGCAACATATTGGTCTATTCTTCAGGTCTTGATGGGCAAATCTTTTTCTGTTAAGGACTGTATTTCCTCAAGAGTCTTTGGTAAGGACCTACATAATGGGGAGGTATAATAGTATGTGGAAATGCCATTAGGAGACAGGGAAAGAGCTTCATATCTTCCTTTTATTCTCTTTCTAACAACCCCTTCTCTTTCCCAAGTAGCAACCAATGGAAAAAGGGCAAAAATCTCTTTGCAGAGGTTGAAGTGATTTTGTGCAGTGGGCTTTGGAAATTAGTCCAAGAGCCACATGTGGCTTGCAGATTGTCTACATCGAATTTGGGATGGGAGTAGGGGAGGTGAAGCAAGCATCTGTGAGCTATTTTAAGAGCAAAAAACTATTGTGGCTGCTACCATGGGCCTTTTATATATAGCCCAGATAGCATACCATTGTACTCTGCAGTATATGGAAGTGACACGCTCCCTCACCCAGTGACCATGCTATCCTTTCCTGGATGGATAATATTACAGCAGTAGTCAAGCAAAGAAAACAGAAAGCAGAAAGAGGCTGACACAAGTAGAAGAAACTAAGGATGAGAGATAATAAAGGAGTCGGGAAAACAACTTAAGAATTATTTGGAAGATAGTTCTCAAGGGGCATAAATTGAATAAAGGAAAGGGAAATTGTCAGAGGACGGAGAAAGCAAGGTCTTTTTTCCAAGCAAACAGGAACTTAATAATTGGAGTCAGTAATAGTCAGAGGAACTTAAATGAAGTTTCACATTTGCATTAAGTGCATACAGGTAGCATAAGTCTTCAACTTATACCCATAATGGAATTTGCTCCTTTAGGTTGTAAATCATGCCAATCATAAAATTTTATTATCTTTTTTTGTGGCAGTCTTTAAACAAACCAATGCTTTACTATGGGCATATTTTTGCCAAAAACTGGAGGTAAATGCTGGTTTTTAGCACAACCGTTGTAAAATAGTTGAGATTGTAGCAGGATACCTAAACTCTTGTAGGAAACTAGAAAACACTTACAGGCAGTTTGCAGCCTCCCACGTTGCACAGTTTTCTGATGAGTGCGCCGGCAATAATAATAACCATTTCTCTGATTTCATTGTTACCAATTGGACTCCTGTATTTATTCTGTTGTATTACAAAAAAAAGTCAACAATGTTAGCATTGGCCCCTTAAATCTAAGAATTAAAAATATCTACGATCCCTTTGTGGGATTTTGCACAAATGTTTTTTCTGAAATTTGGCTTATACAAAGCTAGCATGACCTAACCCTACTGGTTTTCTCTGAGGCTTTAAAGATTTGGTTCTGCCAAATTTGCCAAACTTGGGACCTAAGTACGTGGTTGAGCCCATATTCATGGTTGATTATGCTGTTTGCTTGGTTTTATCTAAGTTGTTATATCATTTCTTATTTGTTATCTTTTGATTTTGTTTTGATTTCCTAGAAGCCACCAAGAGACATATCTGGGATGGGTGTTCACGTAAATTGAATTAAATAATAAATAAATAAATAAATAAATAAATAAATAAATAAATAAATAAATAAATAAATAAATAAATAAATAAATAAATAAATAAATAAATAAATAAATAAATAAATAAATAAATAAATAAATAAATAAATAAAAAATAAATAAATAAATAAATAAATAAATAATAAATACCAATCGTCTCAAGGAACTGTTCCAAGTCCTGTTTTATGACTGGAGGGAATAATGCTTCTTATTCAAGAAGGATCAGCCTACCTACCAATGTGCTGTGCAACAGATAGTCTTTTATAAAATATAAAATAGTCAGTGATTTGGGAACAAAATATTCTCAGGAAGAATTGGAGCAGTTCTGCTGAATGGAAAAGGATCAATGATGGATTGGTATCCATCTCATCACGAGGAAACCACCAGATCTGCTATTCCATAGAGCAGCTTTTGGCTATCATTTAAAATGAGGTTTTTAATTAAAAATCAGGACAGATGTCTGCTGATGTATGAAAGGTGGGGAAATTTAAACACCCTTTCCATTCATAACTTCGAATAAGCATCTCTTTCTTCCCACATTAAATTTAGCATTAGAGGGGAGAAAAATCCCATTAAGTAGCATCCCTGAAGTATTTTTCTTAGTGATAATTGCATGCCAGGAAGAAGAGGAATTTTAGCTACATTTTTATGTGCATTTTCCCTAATAGTACTGATTTTTTTAAAAAATTCAAATGCACTTATTTAGCTTTATTCATAAGGTCTTTATTTTTACTTTATTATTTTTACCATGTTGCAACTGAAACCAAAGGCTGTGTCAAAAGCTAGTCTCATTTGATTCAAAGAACCTCACTTCCAGGTGACTTTCAAAAGCTCATGTTCAGTTCTCCAGAAAAGGGTGTTTCTCGGGGGGGGGGGCAACCATGTTCTTAAAAACATGCTATAGTCATGTTTCCTTGACTGCCACAGGTAACTTACAATTAAAGATCTGAGTAATAACTCATTGGGATGAGAAGTGAAACCAGAAGCATAGAGGAACCGTTCCTGAAGGAGAGATTCACTCTTGTTCTTGAAATCCAGAAAATCCAACATTGCTTCCAGAGAGGATGAAGTATGTGTGGAGGCCACTGCATCAACTAGTTGGGGACTGTATGGAGGCCAAGCAGAGAAATAAAAAGTCGATAATTATTTATTTTAAAACACATTGCTGTTGCTGTGTCTTCCTTTTAATACATGTATTGGATTACAGGTAGTCCTTTCTTACTGACAATAGCATTAAATAAGGAAATTGGTCCTTGTGGTTGTGCTTGTCATAGCTTTCCTCCCCACTTCCCCCACCCACCATTATGGGATCCCAATTCAGATGCTTGGCAACTATCTGGTAATTACAATGGTTGCTGTGCACCACTGTCACAATTGTCATTTCTAACCTTCCCGCCGGCTTCGGTCAAGCAAAGCTGGCAGGAGTTGCAAATAGTGATTGTGTGAAATCCACATGGCTGACTGATAGAGTTGTCAGTCCCAATTGCTATTTTTATGCCAGGACTACCTGGAGAATGTTTCATGTTACTAACTGTTCAGTTTGAGCAGCTACATAACAGGTTTGTGCATTAAAAAAAATTCCAGACGTTAGCTGCCAGCAAAATGTTAGCATTGTTCTATATCTCTTTTCTGCCATCTATTGATTTTGCATATTTTTTGCAATTCAAAGTTAGATCTGAAACCAGGATAATAAGGCCTGAGTAACAAGGAAATTATTTGGTGATAATGATAATAATATTAGCTGGCTTGTTAGTGATTTGTTTATGGCTTAGCCAGAAAAAGACACAGGAACCTCTGATCTAGTTCATAGAGGCTTGAAAACAGTGCACATTGTGCTAACAAGTAAGAACCACAACAGTGCTTTGGTATCTTATTCATGTTGACCATAATAATCTTATATAAGACTTATAAGTCTAATCTTATATAACTTTACAAAATAGAATAAATCTTTTTCCAAAGCTTACTGAAACTTAGAATGGAGATGTTACTGCAGAAAACGTGAAACCCATTGCCAGTAACTCACAGTATTTCTGTATTATTTTCATTTCTCAGTAGCTGTAAGATTTCTTCTTTTGTTGCTTTCTTCAGGCTCTCGATAAATGCCAAAAATCCTTTTGCGGCATCGGCTTTTGAAAGATTATCTGGTTCAAGCTGTTTTCGAATGACCATCCACTGCTGAAACAGCTGCCAGAAAGAAACACAATTTGAACCTTTGCCCCTTAAAAAGTTTGTCCTCTGTGTGTTGCTTGAAACTGGCCTGGTAAATTACCTACTCTCTTCTGATAAATGCTGAAAGGCCAAAGCTTCTCCAGCTTTAGCCTGGTTTTCTAAAGAGGGCCTGACCTTTTGATGCAATCAGGCTTTTTCATTCCCCCCCCCCCCGAGAAATCAGAAGGAGGGAATGAGAAAGTAAACCTGAGGTGATCAGAAAAAACATTTGTGAGAGAAATGAAATATGTTGACCAACGGATTTTATAAAATAGCTAACCTGGTTCAAACCTTTACAAAATTTTAAAGGTAATAAGTAATACTTGATATGTCATGCAAAAAGAAACTGAGACCCCATGCCAAACCACAAAGTTGGCTCTGCAAATGCCAAGGTTGTTAACCAAATTAACAGCCAATTAAGCTCAGGAAGACCAGGTAGTATGAGAAAGAAGCTTAACGTTGACTTGCCTTGACTTTCTTTGGTATAGGAGCAAATGAAAGGGAAATACTGTCAGTCTTCGAAGACTGAGTTATTAACAAAGCAGAGTTTCAATATTTCATAAGAAATCTGAGTTGGTTTTCCTCAAGAGCTGACAATAATGTTAGTAGCAGAGGCGTCATTGATCTTCTAGGGGGTTTTGTGGATTGTGAGTTCTAGGTTTAGCATACTAGCTAAAGCTTATAACAGACCTGGCTGTTACCTTAGGGCCGTGATGGCAAACCTATGGTATGCATGCCACAGGTGGCATGCGGAGCCCTCTCTGTGAGCATGCGAGCTGTTGCCAAGCTCAGGTCCACCACAAATGTGTGCATGTCTCCCGCTGGCCAGCTGATTTTCAAGTCTCTGTGTGCATGTGGGAGGTGTGTGGGGTTGCCCGTGCATGCATGGGGGGAGCACGGAGGGAGTGGTACCTCCCTGCGGCCGTTTCTGGTCCCAGGAGGCTTCAGGGAGGCCCAAAACAAGGCATGGGGGGGGGTTGTCGTGCGCATGCACATGGCGAGGTCATGCATATGCACAGGGGAGGGGGGAGCACAGGGGGCCATGCACGCATGAGCAGGAGAACACGGCGCATTGCATTGTGGGTGTGACCACGGATGCGCTGTCATCCGTATGCACACAATTTCGACATGTGAGGACAAAAAAGTTAGCCATCACTGCCTTAGAGTAATCAATCACGGAAGATCCAGAATCATTCCCAAACTTTCAAGAATGGCACTCTTCTCCCCATTCCACAAGCACACCTGCTTCATTTGGATTCAGCTTTAATTTACTGTAGCTCATTCAACCCAATATTGACTGAAGGAGAGCAAGACCTTCACATATAAGTATTCTGATAGCATCCTGCTCAAAACCCTGTGATGAACTGCTCCATCTATTTCATATGTGTACTGAATTCATATATCCACATTGGAGAGAGAATGGAACTGTAAAATAACTCTTGATTTGAGGAACTATCTTTCCACTTGACACCATTTGATTATCAAGCATATTACATATTCACACTCTTCTGGATAAAAATAAATAAATGCTACACACTTCACTAAGAATTAATCCCGTAACATTCCATAAAATCTTCTATTAAATAAACCCACAATATTGGTGCTGGTATTATTTTAAATCTTCAGATGTCTAATTTCAAAAATCTGTTTTTTATCTTTGAAACATCTTGTGAAGTTTCGTCTGCCAAGTGAAAAAAAAGTTTGAATGTTCAAACAACTTCCAGTATAGAACTGAGTGAATATTTTGACCAGTGCTACCATATACAGCCATTTCTGTTATCCAGTATTATCTCCAGCATTCTTTAGAGAAAGCTCAGCTGTTCCTTCCAGCAATGTTTATTGCAGCTCTCCTAACTAGGAAATTAGGAGCTCAGCTCAGCCTTTGCTGAAATACCCTCTCTCTTATTGGACCAGGGTTATTAAGCAATAGTAGCAGATGCTAATTCCAAATAGCGCTAGTATAATTTCAGCAGTACAAGTTCACCTTACCTGAATTGTAATTAAACATACAGAAGCAATGATGATGACTGAGATAGAAGCTATTTCTGGAGCCTTAATGAATGGCAAGGGAGTACTAATAGCTCAGGACACAGCTGGAGATTATAAACTTTAGCTGAGCATCCCTATATATCCTATGCTAAATATTGCTTTATAGTCAAGAATGTATGACCCAAGGCCTTGGGATTGTATGTGACCCACATTTTCAAAATCTTGTGTGTGACGCTTATAGCTCCTCTGAAAGTTGTGTTGCATGAAATACTTAGCAAAGAAAAATATTGTAAATGATTATGTTAATTATTAAATATATTTTCATTTTAAAATTTAAAAGTAGTTAAATGTTTGTTTTAAACCCCTAATTTTTGGAGTCTGTCCCCAATATGCCATTTAAAAGCCAAGTATGACCTTAACTTCAGAAGTTGCCTCCTCCTGAATTATTGGAAATTTAGTCTCTACAATTATACTGAGGAAGGATAGATGAATTATAAATGAACTTTCTTTGTGAGGTTTCCCTGAGATGGGTCAAGCAATGTTGCATGATAAAATTGTCAGTTGTTCGATTGCTGGAGAAGAATAGGGCACCATGGGGTAAGGCCATAAAAACTACTCACATATAGTTCAAAATCTTGGAATTAGGCTCAGAAGCATAACTACAGTAGCAGTGAATATATTTCCCAGATAAAGTAATCTCAAATTCTCTAATTTCTTCAGATGCCTTTTTCCAGCTATGACCACTTCAATAGCACATAACTGTTATATTTCTTTTCATGTATTTCTTTATGACTTACTGATGGACAATGTTTGCATTCATAAGAGACAGGATCTGCCATCAATGAAATTGCCACATAATTTGAATCCAGAGCCTTTATAATGCTGGCAACTTGCTTCCCAGCCTTCATTCTTGGACCAGCTTCAGTTGACCTCAGTTCCAGTTTCTGCCTGTATATATACATATAAGCAAGCAGTTCAACAAGTATGCCTCCTTTAACACAAACAGCTTAAAATGTGTTGGCAAGGGCCACAAGAGATATAAAGTTGAGTAATGGTTATCAGCAAGGGTATATCTATTTGTGGCAAAATTCATGCAAATGAGGAATCAGATATTATGTAGAACTGCAGCATTTTTTTAAAAACAGAACAGAAAAAAAAATTTGTTTAGATTTGACAGATTATCCGTGGATTTTGATATTCCTGAGAACAACAGGAGAAAGTCAGGCTCTGTCAAACATTCAGATGAAGAGTCTTGCAATTGAGAATGACAAAGTACCTCTCTTTGGATTATTAAAGCAGCTGTATCATTTGCAGAATTTGTTTGGCTGCTTTGAAAGCCATCCTTGGCTGTCTACATGAGTGGCTGGGGCTAAAGTATATCTCTATATGCATTCACCTCGATTAGGGAGAAATTTCTAGGTAGCCACTCAAGATTTTTAATGATCATCTGTTTTAATGTGTTGAGGATATATGCTTTGCTTATATGTTTGCAAAGCGCTTCTTCCAAGCCCAATTAATACAAAAACAATGGTTGCAATAATAAACACGTTAAGCTTCTTGAATTATATACAAAAATATTGGTTTCAAAATGTTTTCCCATTGCTTTTAAATTATAGTACTTGGAATATCAATAAAGGTAAAAGTTAAAAGCATTCATAATTGGAGTTGACCATTGGAAATTTTCTGAAAAATAGACAAAGAAATCACCTTACTTTGAAATAACTTTGGCATCAATAAGTTGCAGAGATTTCAAATTAAAAATATGGTTTTCTTCAGCCCGCACAGATTTAATGAAGGTGTCCTCCAGTATATAAATTACAGCGGAAGTGGATTTTTTCTTTACGTCGAAGAGCTGAAAAATGATTTTATATAAATACAAATACATAAATAAATAAAATTAGAAGCTAATTTTCCAAATTACATCAATCTCTTTTTCTAATGCTATTTGACGGATATAAAATTATTTGAATGTATCTTGTTCTAAATTATAACATGGAATCAAATCAATTAACATAGTTTTACGGTAAACAAAAGAATGCAAATCAAGTAGAATCAGTGGCCAAAATTTAGGATAACCTCTGGTGTATATGATTTTTTTTTAAATCAATAAATGATTAAGAAATTTGAAAAAGTATTTATTGAACCATACTAGCTTTTATTGTCCCCAAATCCATGTTTTCTTTATTCAGTATTATTCGAACCTTTGGGGATTTTTTGCCTAACAGACAAAAAATGTAATTTTAATTGTCATAGTTCTAAAGGTTCTAAACTGACTTGCGTTTTTCTGCAGGATTGGGACCACAAAATTAAAACCCAAGAATTAACCACATTGTAGAAAAGTTGTGTACCCTACTGTACCTGATTGTGGTTAGTTACACTTGGCTGTTTTAATTGGCAAGAGTTCAGGGCTTTCACTTTAGTGATCTGATTCTGTCGAGTTTGATAAGTCACATTGCATTTTCCACAGATATCAATCTAGAGAACAGATGAAATAAACATGTTGGTGTATCAAAGACTTGCTGACCAACTTTTTTATATATATACAAAACATAGTCTCTTTTTTTATATCCCCAAAGTAATAGCAAGCTAATATAATCATGCAACTTTAGCAATAAAGCAACTCGGTTTCTACCTAAGGCAAATTTCACCTTAGTGAAGGAATTTTATTTAAGACTATAACTGGTGAAGGAAAGATCTGCAACCCCAATAGTTCTAGCTCCCACTAGAGTGATACTATTTGCATTTTTAAAACCTGTAGGATAATTTCAAAGAAGTGCTTAATATTAATTAAACCCTAGTTAATGTATTACGTTCTGTTCATTGAGCCACAATTGGACATGTGTTCATAAAGTACACGATGCCATGAATTTGTTCACAAGAAACAAAACTGACTAATTTGTGTCAACGTTCTTCAATGCTAACATTACAACTGTAAATATTTGCTAAGGATTTGACTATTCATGTTTCTTTCTGACATCAAAGAGGAGACAGGAAGAGGTCCAAATTTTCTCTATAAGCCTTTATTGTTATACTGTCTTAATCTAACCTTTACTCTGGATTTCCAAATAAATTGTAGCAAGGATATCTGCACAAGGAGGAGAGGCAGGGCAAATGATGTCACATGTGCTATAATGGCATTGGACACAATGACATCAGGACATATGTGTTGACATTGGGATCTTAGAGGTACTTGGCCATCAAGAGGCCTTATTTAAACACTAAAGTAAATCAGATAGTTCTGTTTAATTTAGAACTGACATTTGTGTAGAAACTCTACAAACCAAGCACCTAATATTAGCTGTATTTGTATCCCAATGAGTCATGGTTTGTCAACTATGATTTCAACAAATAAATTATAGTTGAGTAGAACCAAACAAAATTATATTCCTATCTTGGATTTCCCAGTTTTCTTCAGGTGAATTTACAACAGCCTGAGATGAGAAACGGTGGCAAACATGTTGAAACAAAGGGCTTAGCAAAAGGGAATGACCATTTCACAAATTGGCTGAATGGTTTTCAACATAGGATACATGTGCAGCAAATGCATTTATTTTTTGTAACAATCATTTTTTTTTAATTTATTTGTTAAATTTATTTTCTGCCAGTCTTGCTGTAGGGCTACTCTAGATAGCTTACAATAATAAAAAGGAAAAAAATGAAAGAAATATAAATAGAAATAAAATAATAGAACAATAGAATAAACAAGGAAAAAGAACACAATGACATCACTATTAACCAGAAAGATGAATGGGTGGAGAGCAGAGCGCAAGGCTGGATGGGGAGGGGGGAGATGGAGTCTGCTATCAATCTAGCTGCTACCGCCAGCATGGAAGTCCACCATTGGGTTCCCAAGCCAACTGGCAGAGCTAGGTCTTTAGGCTCTTATATTTATACTCATATTTATATAGAGGTAATGTAATAGAATGTAATATTATATATTTATACTGTTAATATAGCATCCCATGGTTGTGACTTCATTTGGTCTTGCTCTTAGCTCTTACTTTGAGGGCAACAATGAGCTGGTTTTTCAGCAGAGTTATCAATCTCATTACTGGTGGTGTGTTAATTAAATCACAAGCTTCTTATATAAAATGCATAAGACATACGCATTTATGTTTTGCTCTTTAAAACTTTGTCCTCAACACTGTAAGAGGGTGGCATTCACTGCATTAATTTCTGCCCAAATGTGAACGTATACCTAGAAAGGGCTTCTATAATTTTTACAAAAATCTATCTTGTCTTCCGGAGTAATATCCTATCTATTCCTGTTCTTTGTTTTCTTTATTCCTTTGGTTTTATAATTTTATTGCATTTTTCTATGCTGTTTGATTAGGATGTACACCACCCAGAGTCAATTTAGAATTGCATGGTGCCTCAATTAAATAAATGTAATATGTTAAGTATTCTCCGATTAAAAATCAAGACAAATAAATAGATTTAGCAGGCAAGACAGAATAGAGTACCTCGCTTGTAGATCCAGAATTTAGCTGTATTTGAAATAAGCTAACCAGGCCTCTCTTAACATTCTTGATAATAGAAGGTTCATCTTCATAGCAGTAGAAATTTTTAACCTAGAAAGTGTGGTGAAGGGAGAGAAAGAGAATTTGTAATAAGAAAAATAATAATTTTAAAACTATCCTCCAAAATTCCAGTCATTATTTATCATTAATTTATTTTCGGTTATTAATATTAGAAGATGAATCAATATTCTATTCTACACAGATATGTGCTAAAGCAGGTCCATGAAATGAAAGGCAGAAGTACAATAACAGAAATCTGTGTCAAATCTGCAGGACAAAACACAATCTATTATCACTTATTTACAAGTATGGGATGATCTTATTATGAAACACTTTATTTCACTAATAGAAAGATAAAAACCCTTTAAATTCATGCAAAATCAGCAATGTTGTGCAAACTTAAGTCCGATGTCAAAATATTTGACCCAGAATCAGATGCAATAAATCTTCCTCCAGCTGCCTGAATAAATAATATTACCATCTAATGCTTACTTAAAATGCTAAGTGCAGAAAACAACAACCAAATGACTTAGAATGCTTAGTACAAAAAGTGATGGATGGATTTTATTTTCTTGGGGTGAGTATCCAACTTTGGTAAAGATTCCCCCTTTCCAGTGGTATCCAACTCTAGGGGGAGGTGCTCATCTCCATTTCTTAGCCAAGGGAGCCAGTGTTATCCAAAGATGCTTTTTCCATAGCCATGTGGCCAACAATACTGTACACTGATGCAAACAGAACTTCGTTATCTTCCCACCAAAAGGGTACTTATTTATCTACTTGCATTTGCATGCTTTCAAACTGCTAGGTTGGCAGGAGCTTGGACAAGCAATAGGAGCTCACCCCATCATGCGGCATTTGGGTCTCGAACCCAGGATGTCAGCTCAACATCTTTAATCACTGAGTTATTGCACCCCTTTCCAGCTCTGATATAGAACACTAACACTAACTAAATGCAGAAGGTTTTATTCAGATTTTCACAATCTGGCAACCTCCAGATTATTGTAAATTAATTTTCAGAATTCCTCATATCTTCACACCCTAAAGTGAGTTCTGGACTTTTTCAATTTAAAAAAAGATCAGAAGGCAAAACCCTAGCTACTCAAAGTTCTGGAGAATCACTACCAGACTAGATCACTGATGGTTAAAAGTTACATTATATATCCTATTTCTTTTAAATACAAGATCCTTTGTTGAAATTGGACAACAGCACACTAAAATATTGCGAGAGATGTCTATGGAGATTCTCAATCATCCAGATCATGGTTATTCCAAAAGTATTTTTTCCAAAAGGCAACTGACACTTTCATGCTTTTTTCCTTGAAAACATTTTGCTTCTCACCCAAGAACTGAAGAAGCTCTTTGGAAAAGCATCTTTGGAAGAGACGGAGAAGATATTGAATTTTGAGCCACATCAGAAATCTTCTAGATGATGTGAATGCCTTCAGGGGGTGCATGGTGTGTCTTTCTGAGAACTCATAATCTAAACAATCTATAGATTTCTTTCATATTCCTCAAAGAATAGAATAAATATTTTTAAGCCTTCATCCTGCAGTGCATAGACAATGGCTAAAATGATGAAGATGATGATGACAATGATGTTCTCATGATGATTTCTTTATCATCCTCAGCCCATAACGGTCTTAAAATAATATTTACTGTTTCTCTTAACGTTTACTCTATGGAGATTCTCAGTTATCCAGCTCATGGTTATCCCAAAGGTGCTTTTTCAAGAGTCACCTGGACTTTCTGGTTTTTCTTTGAAGACATTTCACTTCTCATCCAAGAAGCTTCTTCAGCTCTTAACACAATTTCTCTTAATACAATTTTTGCCATAGAGATTGCACAAGATGCTTCCTCAATAATGCTGGTGATGTTGGTATCGTGGATTGGAACCAATCCTAATACCACCATCTATTCTCAGAAACCAAGAAAAAGTGTCCCAAAATGATGGCCTCCCTTAATTAAGTGAAAATAAATGAGTCTCTCTCTCTCTTTCTGGGATGGCAGGTAAAGGTAAAGGTTTCCCTTGCACATATGTGCTAGTCGTTTCCAACTCTAGGGGGCGGTGCTCATCTCCGTTTCAAAGCCAAAGAGCCAACGTTGTCCAAAGACATCTCCGTGGTCATGTGGCCGGCATGACTACATGCCAAAGGCACACAGAATGCCGTTACCTTCTCACCAAAGGTGATCCCTATTTTTCTACTTGCATTTTTACATGCTTTTGAACTGCTAGGTTGGCAGAAGTTGTGACAAGTAACAGGAGCTCACTCCGTTATGCAGTGCTAGAGATTCAAACCACCAAACTGCTGAACTTTCTGATCAACAAGCTCAGCGTCTTAACCACTGAGCCACCATATCCCTACAGGATGGCAGGCTGACACTACTAATGTTAGTTCTATTTGAAAATAGTCATGTACACTGATTAGTCACCAAGATATGGCATGAAAT